ACCGCATGAAAGCCGTGAGTGTTCGTTAATAACTGACAATAATAGTGAGGTAGAACACAATTCGGTGACCGCCCAGTGTCAGGGACATAGAGGGGGGGGGGGGCTCTCGAGAACCCCCGGTTACACTACCGCAGGGGCGCCGACTACGGTCCCTGGCTGTTTAAAACTAACGTAAGCTCCTTGTTGCTCACAGTGACAAAAAAAAATAATAAACCGGGAGTGATCTCCCCTAAACTTTCTCGAATATTCTTATATAACTTGGAATATAGACATGATTTTTAATTACTTAAACTTTTAAAAATAGAATAGAATCTCATAGAAAAAAGAATTGCTCACCAAGCGAACGCCAAAACAAGATGTACATAACAGTGCGGAGTATTATTAGTACTTTATAAATTAACATGCGTTTTTTTTTAAGAAATCGGAAATAGCGTAAATTAGTACTTCCGGTCAACGGAAATTCCTCAAAATTTGACAGAAGGTCGAGAATTAGATCTTTTACTCATATGTGAAATTTCATTTATCTATCCTAAATAGTACTCAAATTATAGGCTTTTGAAAAATTCAAAGTAGAAAAAGTACCACTTCGGGTTATCGGAAATCACTCAAAAATTGATACGGATCTACGATTTTGATAAAATACTTATTTATGAAATTTCATTAACCTAGCTGTAACGGTACTCAAGTTATCGTGTTTACACACAGACAGACACACACAGACATACGGACAAGATTGCAAAATTATGTTTTTCCGTATCAGTGAGGTGTAAAACGTCGAGATTTGCAAAAATCTCGATTTTTTTTTTGCACGATTACAAGGCTTTCTCTATACTTCGTATATACGAGAAAGTAATAATCAGGACTTTTTCTTTAACACGTAGAAAACTAAATTATTTGACTAAGGGGGTCGTCTATAAATGACGTTACGCTCGTAGGGGGGAGTGGGGTCCGTAATTTTGTGACGGTGTGTAATGAGGGGGGAGGGCGGGGGGCTCAGATGGTGTGACATCACTTTTTTGTATTATAAAAAAAGCAATGTTAGAAAACGAGTTTTAGGCGTTATTTCGCGTTTTAGAAAACGGTTTTAATGTATTGTAATAGGAATTGATTAAAATACTCTATGTTGACAGAGTTCTGAAAACATTCTGGAATAATATGATGTTTTAAGAAAAAATCAACAGCCAATTTTGAGGGGGGTTGTAGGCTGAGGTGTGACATCATTTTAGGGGGGGGGGGGTCTGGCTTTTTGTGAGAACGTGTGACAGAGGGGAGGGGAGGGGAGGAGGTAAAAATGGTCCAAAAAAGCGTGACGTCATTTATTGATGACCCCCCTAATCAGTGTTTTTTCCAGACTTTTTTCTCCGGGGGAGAGGGGGCACTTGAAATCTTCGGGGGGGGGGGGAGGAGGGCGGTAGACTTTCTTCGGGGGGGGGGGGGGCGGACACTGTTAAAAGTATATATTTTCTATATAAATTATATAAATTTCATTTCGTTCGGGGGGAAGGGGGCGGTAGCATTTTTTCGGGGGGGGGGGGGGGGGGGGGGGGGGGGTTCGTGCACGCTACGTGGCGCCGGCGGTTTCGCCTGTTGAAGTTTGAACGCTGAATATAGTAGTACCACACAATTAACAGATGTCAAGTGCTAACATAGACGCTATGGAGCTCTGGGCGGCGAATAGTGTATTGACAAAAATCTTACCTGGGCGCCGCCCATATCAAAAGTTTAATTATTTTGTTCACAGAAACATTCCCGGGAGTATCCTCATCAACTCCCCAAAGTTTCGGATGAACGGTGTCCGAACCGTATCCGACTTTAATTTTTAAATATACCGTATATATAGTAGAATCGCACCCTCCCGGGACGCCGCCCTTGCGAAATAAAAAAAAAAAGATTTTTTTTTGCAGAAACCTCCCCTGGTGTGTTCTAATCATGACAATCGGATGAACGGTGTCAAACCGCAATTGACTTATATTTGTATATACCGTATATAGAGAAATAACAAATCGCGCCATACCGTGGCGCCACCCCCTGCGAATTTTAATTTTTTTCCCCGCAGAAACCTCCCATATGAGTATTCTCAACAACTTCCCCAAAGTTTTGATGCTGATATGATGAAAGATGTGGTAATAGTAATGTATAAAAGAAACAGACACACACACATACATACATTACTACAGTGGCGTAGCGAGGTCGGGTGTCACCCGGTGCGGCACTTAATGGTGTCACCCCCCTCCCCCCAGAGGCGTAGCGACCCTACCCGGAGACAAACTTTCAAATTTTCGATTTGCGACCCCCCACCCCCCCCCTCAAACATTCGATTTCACCCCCCCCCCCCCTCAAGTTTTTCTCTATATATTTTGCTATTTTTTTGCCTTGGTGTCACCCCCTAAATGGTGTCACCCGGTGGCGGCCCCGCACCCCCCGACCCTACCTCGCTACGCCCCTGCATTACTATATATATATAGATAATTAAGGTCTGAAATAGTTTAATATAGAAACTAATCAATTCTATATCTAGCGCTAGAAGCTCTTTACCTCGTCTGGGTATACTAAATAAAATCAAATTATTATAATTTAATATATTCCATTACAAAATACACAACATTTAATGATCAAACTGATTAAAGGCGAGAATTGTTTACAAAGTTTAGCTGACGAAAAGAGTCGTCAAGCAAGCCAACCAGAGTTTCTTCAGGCATCTCTTCGGACGAGATGGATTTTATATAGTAAACATACACTTTTACAAGTGTCCGCCCCCCCCCCCCCCCGAAAAATGTTGACCGCCCCCCCCCCCCTCCCCGAAAATTCGAAGTCTGGAAGAAACACTAAAGCCAACCAGTTCTGTTGCTCGTTTTATTTCTGTTTATGTTTTCCATTATTTATTTTCCTCTCTTATGTTTTTTTTAACTAATACATTTTTAAAAAATCTGTTATTTTGTAACATGCACCTTTAAATAGTAATTGAAAAACAAAATGTTTTTTGTCGAAAGGCATCAATTAGCGCATCCACCTAGAAATAACATTCAGGGGCCTAACTAGCAATTAATTCAATTGGAAAAACCATTTGTCAATTTTGCTGTTAAGTAAGAGACTTTTTAACTCTAATTAATCATTTATTTAACTCTAATGATTGTTATTTTTGCCATGGTGTCACCCCCCCCCCCCCTTAATGGTGTAATCTCGCGGTGAACGGAAAAAAGTGACAGATAAAAAGTCATAGAAAAAAGTCACAAAAAATCTTTTCAGAACTCTTTTCATTTATTTGTTAAAAATTATCAAATTTCGTATGTTTATTGTGGGTTGTATTTTTTATAGCATATATTATTTATAGACGTTAAAAGCATTATGGTTTATTACAATTGTAAGTAAAAATACTAATTTACACAACAAGCTCAACTTTTGTTATGTACTTAGTTAAATATGGGGTAGAAAAGTTAATTATAAAAGAAATTTAGGCACATCATTGTGTTTTGCATATGTTTTGCCGTAGGCTATTCAATGTCAGCCTTTGAACCTTGCCGGCTTTCTGTTTTGATTCCAAGTTTTGTTATGTAATGAGCGTGATAAATGTGGGCAGTAAAGGTGGTTGAACTAATCATAACTATTGTTGCGATGAGTTGAGACCAGCAAGTCAGATGAACTTACCATTTCAAGGTAATTTAATGTTAGACACGATGAAAACCGAGGACGTTGGAACATTCTATTAAATGTTATTAATATTATGTTTAAAAAAATTTCAATCTACATACTTCGTACTAAATATTTTTAGATGAATTATAAAAATTACCATTCGTATACAACTTACACACATTACATTACATTAATCCAAAATTAAGAATATATAATTCATAAAAGTATTAACAAATTCCATGCAAATATATATTTGAGACTTTTCTCCTGTGACTTTTTTTCTTTTTTTTTCTGCGACTTTTTTTCTGTGACTTTTTTCCTACAATCCCCCTCACGACGCATCTTTTCTCAACCTTCCCAAAATTTCATGGCGTTTGGATGAAATGTGTTGTAATGCATAAAAAAAACACATACATTGCTCTATATACGTTAAATGATTTATAAAATGTCCACATTTAAGGTTCCATCAGAGGTTTTCCATCACGCGAGCAAGCCCCTAATGACTCCAAATATAGTCAAACACACCAAACTGACGCAGACTTTTATGAGGTTTTCAGCAAAACATTACCAATCTCCGCGTGCCATGTTTTCAAGAAGTTAATTAAATGTGAAAAATGTCGGCACATCATTTATTCCAACTACCAATTTACGCTGTCCAAGTTGTCAGGGCCGTCGCTGGATTCTTGTGAGCCACCTGTTTCATTACTGCAACCCCTGGTTAGATTTAGTCATCGAATGTAGTAGCCAGATTTATCCCTAATGTAATGTGTACTTTTAAACGATTGTTGAGGCCAAACTGCTCATATGTGGTACTATCCGGGCGACAATTATAAATAACTATTTTTGGTATATATTTTTCAATTAATGTTTGTGTAGTGGATTTTAATGTTTGCGGAAGTATGGAATAGAGTCCTTGCATATGACTTCACTGATCGTTCAGGATGTAATCATCCGCCATTGCGGTGTACAGGTCCACATTCAAAATGGCGATCTGTGCTGCGAAAGGTTGTGATGCTCAAAGTGGCTGATCTAAAGGAATTCCTTTATTTTGACTGACAAGGGTTCAATTAAACCTAATGATAGAGATCGGCAGTCATTTTTTTAACCAAAATTTAATTTATCGAAGCGGTGTGAGTGAAGCAGTGACATTTAGATCTAGAATCTAGCTCTAAATCTAATTATGTTGTAAAAGAATTTAGATCAAGATTTAAGGTGAATCTACTTATTTAATTAAATTTAATTACAAAATTACCATATCAGATTAAAATTACAATATAATAAATTTATAAAATAGGCCTTAATAAAAATAGATTGTCTCTAATATTTAGAATCTAGCTCTTGATTCTAATCATTTTATTTAGCAAACAAAATTACATAAAAATGCTATCTCTGGCTGGCTGAGGTATAAGAGCAGCAGTCCATGTTACCTACAAGGAGATGAAGTTTTATGGTGGGTTAGATATAGGTCGGGATTGGGTATCATTTAGGTAAGATATTATGAGGGGGAGCATGGAAATGTGTCTGATCACTTCCCGGCTGGACGAGGAGGGTCATAGATTACGTAACATGCTACCCAGATTGGCTGAGATCGAAGAACAACAATGCTTGTTACATCAGAAGTAGATAAACAGTTTTAATGGGGCTTTTGTAGGGTTAAGTGGTCTCACGTTTTTTTTTTACTGCTACTAAATCTTGTACTTCACTAGATAATCTAGAATTTATACTAACTAGATCTAGATTTAAATAATCTATATATTACTGCATTCAATTCCTAAAAGTTTTGTACATATTGTTTCGCAGGTGCGAAGCTCTTGTGTGAGCAGTTTTTCATTAAACAAGCTGGTAATATCAATCTTTCAGCTAAGGGTAGTTAGTTGCACACATTTTTTAAAATAATTAAAATAACAAAATAACGACGGGGTTGTATTAAGGGGACTAAATGTTGCAAAATTATACCAAATTTATTTTTATAGTATAAACGGTTCTCTAGATATGACGGTTTCGGTGTAAAAATTGCGGGGACAACTAAGCCTATGGAAAATGAAAGCAAAAAGTGGTCACGTCGAGAGCGTAGAAAAAAAGGCGAAAGAGAAATAACTGCGTGGGCGCACAATTATAAAATTTTTATATAAGTATTTTAAAATGCATTTTTAAAAAAATGAGTATCACAAGATGTTAATAAATTATTTAATTTAAAAGTGTTTTATTAAAAACTAGCGTACCCATCCCGCGCGTTGCTGCGGTCTTAAAGTTTAAAAAAAAATTAAAGAAACACATTGTGAAAGTTATGGTGCCATTAAATTTACATTTTTATTGAAAATGAAAATTATCAAACAAGTATTATTACATTCAATTTAATTTTCAAAAACGTATAAATCAATTTTATATGAAAAAACGGTATCACATTTAATGTACATTTTTACTATAACATATTTACCATTCTAATATGTAAATATGATTAACATTCACTTAACATATTAATTGAAGCGTATATATCATTTTAATATAAACATCTGAACATTCAGTGTACTTTATTGAAACATATTTTCCACTTTTATATACAAATATGATTAACATTCATTTAACATATTAATTTTTGGTAATGCTGAAGCCATTTGATTCAATCTGTTTATTCGAGTGCCTGTTGATATACAATGTTTTTTGTTTTGTCTTCTGGCACGTATACGTATAAATTGAAGATTTTCCCACACGTGAGCAAGCAACATATAATTGCCCATGTGAAAAACATGGCTTCTGCAAGTTTAAACCACATACTTGCAGGGATTGGCCTTGCGCTTTATTTATAGTCATGGCAAAAGCCAGACGTACTGGAAATTGTAAGCGTTTAAAATCAAACGGCATGTCTGTTGGTATCATTGGAATACGTGGCAACAACACATGTTCACTCTTGAATTTTCCAGTCAAAATAGTTGCTTCAATGATATTGTGCATCATTTTTTTGACTGCAAGTCTTGTACCGTTGCACAGTCGTGGTGGATTTATATTTCTAAGGAGAATAATAGGCGCACCAAGTTTAAGATTTAATATATGCGGTGGCATACCTGGCAAATCCAATGAATTTAAGAATTCTGTCGGATAACTGACAACTTCGTCTTGATTTATCACAGTGTCAATTGACTTGTACGTTGTCTCCTGGTATTCTCTTTTGAATGGTGAAATTCATGTCGTTGACATCGCTGTTTGTAGCAGCTAATATGGCACGTTCACTAAGCCACTGATGGTTTTCAAACTTCTGTGAGATATTTGTGAAAACCTTTTCAATTAAGTCGTCTTGACTTGATGTCATGTTGCAAAAGTTTTCTGGCAAGGCGATATATTGTGACGATCATTCAACTGCCATCTTCCCATTCCCAATATCCAGCAATTGTTTTGCGAAACGTTCGGCGGATGCATCATTTTGAAGTTGAACACGCCTGTTGGTTTTCAATGTTAATTTCTTTACATGTCTCCATAGAACAGATTATTTGAGACATGCATTAAGCTCATCAGCCGGTGTTGAACGTGGTATAACAGGCAGAGTTTGTCTAAAATCACCCGACAATAAAATGAGTGCTCCGCCAAAGGGCTGCCCATTTTCCCTCAAAGTGTGCGATCAAGAGCTTCCAATGCTTTTTTGTACGCCATAGTGCATTCGTCCCAGATGATCAACTCACATGTTTGGAGAACCTTGCCCATTCCAGAATTTTTGGTGATATTGCATGTTGGCGTCTCGATGGAATGCAAATTCAACGGTAATTTTAGGGCTGAATGTGCTGTTCGACCATCATCTAAAAGTGTTGCTGCAATTCCAGATTATGCAATTGCCAGGGCAATTTTATTTCTTGATCTTATCGTTGCCAAAATGATTGAAATAAGAAAAGTTTTGCCTGTGCCTCCAGGTGCATCTATAAAGTACAATCCTCCGCTTTGATTTGTAACTGCTTGCATGATTGTGTCATATACAATAAGTTGTTCTGGAACCAATTTGCAGTTAAAGTAGTTTGCGGTGGTGACAATGCTTTAGTTTGTATGTATTCCATTGTAAAGCAAACACTTTGTCCATCTTTAACATGCACAGCCAAGTGAACAACAGGTGGATGGCGTTCATGAATGGGAAATGAGAAAATTCGCCAAACAGCTTCATTGCTACTAATGTAGCGTCCCAATTGATATCGTTCAATTTCATCGATTGGTGCAGACGGATTTCCCACTCCAAAAACGGCCATATCACTTCCTTTGTTTACATATTTACAAATACACTTGATAGATTTCACTGAATTGCAATACTCTACATTGATGTGAGCTTTGAACGTCTTTGATAGTAACGGTGAATATGGAACAATCCAACGATTATCAATATCAATGTCATTGTTGTGCAATTTTAGAACGATGACGTTGCCACCATCCTTAGTTGCTCGTCGACGGTATTTTGGATATCCATCATTTCCGGTGATAGTCTCGGCGTGTAAGTCTCTTGGATATCGTTTTGTGCACTTACCATCCTTCATGCACGGAGAAGTGTTGTTGATCGCGCCACATGGACCATCGATCATGTTGCTTGAAACAACTTCAAACAAACCGGGATCGATGTTGATATCGGGAATCTCTGCTGATATTATTTCGTCAATTTTGTCGGGTGTAATGTTACACAACCAAACCAAAATATGAGAATGAGGCAAGCCTCTTTTCTGCCATTCAATTGAATACATCCAGCAGCGTGTCTCCCCAAAAACATGATGCTTCACGATGAAATCCATCAAAGATTTTAATTTTTGTTTGAAGACACGTGCGATGATGTCATGACGATCCGCAGGTGACTGTCCAGGTAAAAGAAGTTCTTTGATTTCATCCCATTTGCGATATCACGTAAACGTGATGAATAGATCGGGACGGCCGTAGTTGCGAACATAGGTCATCGCATCCTGCGCGTAGTCGTGTAAGTGCCGAGGGCTTCCTGTGAATGTAGCTGACAAAATGACCATTTTCCCAATATCATTGGGATTGGCATCGGTATTAATTGCGTCACGCAAATTGATGTACTCTTCTGAGCGCAGTTTGGCTTGATTCAGTCGAATAAACAGAAGTCGTTCGCTCTCAATTTTAGCGTACATGTCGACAATGTACTGATGGAACAGTTGCCGACATTTTAAAATGTGATTCTCTTGATTTTCACGAATCATCAGTCGATAAGCATAGTACTTCATAGCACTAACTTTTTTATTTATCTCCTCATTTGTTTCTGGATTTATCATTTTGATATTGAAATGATACCCATCTTCTCCTTGCCAAAATATTATGGGGTATTGTAAAGCATCATAAGACCGATGCTTTTCACAGACTCGCTGAACATTACTATTTCTGCGATGAAGAATAATATCACGCGAGTTGAACTCTTCGCCGGCTATGACAATCGCGACTTCATTTAAAGCTGGTGCATTAATATTGTCTTTCATGCTGGCCGACTGGTGTTTTGTCAGCTCTAACTACAACAGCATATTCATCAGCTGGCATTCGGTCAAGCGCCGTTCTGAATAGCCGAACCAGTTCATTGTGTTGATCAAACATAACTTGAAGAGCAGCTATTATATCTTGGTTAGTACTGGTATTGAATAGACATCGCTTTTTAACTTGCTCAGCAGGGCTTCCCATGAAGTAAATTTGGAGAAATTTGTGATCTGCATCTGCCAGTGGTAAAAGTGATCCAACCCGATGATATATTTGGCCTTGAATTTTGAAGGTTGGCATGTAATTGTCACGAATGATTGCTGATGCACCGAATGACGTCATCTGGAAAGATGAATTGTACCTACGTATGTTTTCCAAGAAATGTTTTGACTGGCTTGTTTCACCTGATACCAAAGTTGATAACGGTTTGGGTGGTAAATGCAGTTCTGGTAATTTCACTTTTCCACTTGCGCAGCACATTCCAGGCGTTTCATTCTTAAATTTCAACGCATGGCAAAATTTGCACACATTGTCCATTTTTCCGATAGCGACACCTCGATGAAGACTGTAAACATAATCAGGATCATAACTGAATGCAGAGAGGTTCAGATCTGCATGCAATGTCCGTCTGGTTTGAAAATTACGTTCTCGATTGGTTCCCAGTCTTTCTCTCCGTTGATCTCCTGTTTCATTTGAGCGGGCTTGAGCAGTGCCTACCCGATTGGATTCTAATCTTGATTCACGTTGCTCTTCTGTTTCAGAAGCTCGCATTGCCCTTTTTTTTTCTTGTTTCTGATGTAGATCGACCAATAGATTTTCGTTTGGGAGGCATACCTGTAGCAAAATTAATAAATGGAAAAATTCACTATCCATATTAAAAAAAAATGCTTATTAAAATTAATCGTGTAAGTGTATTTAACACCATCCGGAAGTATACGGCGATTTGATGCATCGTGTACTACTAAGGCATAAAGGACAAATACACCGACAGACACATTAGATAAAGGATTTTTACTTTCTAGATTTACAAACGAAACAGCATAAAAATATTCGTGTGGCGAGTTAAAAAAATTATGGCATTCAAGAAGGTGTTTTTATTATTAAGGTCCCCCCCCCCCCCCCCCCCCCCGCGCGAAATTTTTTTTAACCGTGTATCTCGCTTTTGTCATTTGCATGTAATATATTTAATATGTTCTTGCGTGTGACGTCTAAACTATAATGTGACTCCAATCTCGCGTGAACACCGCCTTGTCTTATGTAGCCTACTTCTTGGTTATATTAAATTAACATTTTTTAATAGACTTAGACTTAGTCCTCTTTGCTCCTTTTGGAGCATAGGGCCTCCACCATTTCCTTCCATTTCTTCCTATCCTCGGCTATTAATTTTGACATCTCCCAAGACATCCCTATTGGCTTCAGTTCTTCAAGAAGACTCCGCCTCCAGGTCTCCATAGGGGTTCCACTCAAGCGCTTGGCGTGTAACATTTGTGTGAGCCTTTCGCAGTGTGTGACCCACCCAGCGCCACTTCCTCCTTATTCCTCCATAGTTCCAAGTTCGGCACTTTGTCCTGCCATCTCAGTTTCAGTATCTGTCTAAGGCATCTATTCATGAAGGTCTGTATCTTTGCTGTGCTTGCCTTGGAGACTCTCCATGTCTCTGCTCCATACAGCAGAACTGCCTTGACATTAGAGTTAAATATCCTAATTTTTGTGGTAATGGAGATGGCCGAACTTTTCCATATGGGTCGCAGGACCGTGAAAGCGCAGCGGGCTCTATTAACTCTAGCGCGTATGTCCTCCTCTGTGCCTCCCGTTTTGCTGATCTTGCTGCCAAGGTAGACAAACTCTTGCACATCATTTACCTGTCTTCCGTCTATTGACACTGGAGCCTCCTGTTTATTGTTAATTCTCATCATTTCCGTCTTTTTTCTGTTGATCTTCAGACCTACGCGCTGCGAGATGGCTCCTAATGCATCAACTTTTTCTTGCATGTCCTGTAGCCTGTGCGAGAGTAAGGCAAGATCATCTGCAAACTCCAGATCTAGTTTCCCCGTGAGTGTCCACTGAATAACTTTTCCAGAACTGACATAGGCTTTGCGTGTCACCCAGTCGAGAACCACCAAGAAGAGGAGGGGCGACAGCAGACATCCTTGTCTCACACCTGTATTGACCTGGAACTCTTTAGACAGTTTCCCTGCAAACAATATGGGATCTGTTGAGACACTATGGTGTACCTGCTAAGTTAGTGGAAATAATCCAGCAACTTTACAATGGATTTTCATGCCAAGTTAGCCATGCAGTGAAACATTTTTTAATAGTATCATCAAATTTTGCGTTGATGCTTTTAAAAAGATGTATTAGTGGGATCCCGTTTCTAAAATTTCACTACATCAATATATATATATATATATATATATATATATATATATATATATATATATATATATATATATATATATATATATATATATATATATATATATATATATATATATATATATATATATATATATATATATATATATATATATATATATATATATATATATATATATATATATAATTAAATTTATAGCACAATCTTGTGGAAATACAATACGAATAATACTGTTTTGATTGATATATAGATCTAGTTTCATAGCATTGTGTTAGCCTAAAAAATTGTAAATAAATCAGTTTGGTTATTGAAAAATCTGGAAATAGGCTATATTAAACAACACTATTTGTTAATTATTCATTCAAATGATAAAATGTAATAGAAAAGCTGAACATAATCAAGTATCCTTACCCATAAGTACTGTGACTGCTGTGCTGTAAAATTGTGTGATTGCGGCGTTCGACTGCGTTTCCGATCAAAAGTGT